GTAAAATCGCAGCCACCGCACTAGCCATTATTTTTCATCGAAGGATAGTGTAGTGTATCTTTGGCGAAGCAGCATTGAAAGTTCTGAACTCATGTGTTCAGCGTTCTGAAGCATACCGCAGCGGCTGGTGAAAACACAAGCAGTGACTGGAGTGGCTGCGTCGGAGTGTGCAGTGTAAATAAGGGTTTATTAAAGCATTAATGGCAAGGAGAGCCCCTTATACTTGAGAGCGGCCACGTATGAGGTGTTTTTTGGAGGTTATAGTACATTAAAAATGATCATGTGACTTTCACATACACTATTTACCTGCAAATGCAAAAAAATATATAACATTTCATTGCAGTTTTGTGAAACGGTTTACTTTTTCAAATTGCCTGAAAAACCACCTCATGGCAGCATAAAAACCTTTTTTGCGATATATAGGATTGCGATATTGGGCGCATTTTTAATTTACAATAATGGTAATGGAAACGCAGTATATGACTGTTTTCAAACAGGTTTCCCGGTTTTAAAAAGTACACATATCCCCTTTAACAAAAGACCACTCAGCATTGATTAATCAGTGTAATAGTATATTATGCACAGTATGTTATGTAGTATGTTATACAGCTTGTATGTTGTAATTTTAGATCATTTCAAAAGTAATTTTTTTTAATCAGAAATATCAGATACATCAGAAATATTTTTTGATCTACTAAATACAATGTGATTGGAGAAAGCTTCTTTTCGGTTTTCTTTCTATAATTATTATTATTAATGATAATAACTTTAATAAGAAAGTTAAAGAAATAGAAACAATTAAATAATTAAAATAATAACAATAAAATGCAGCTGCAAATGTATTAAGTATTAAAAAATACCTATACTTGACTACAAGTATATTTACTGAACTTAACATTTACAGTTAAAATAAGCTACATGCAATAAGTTAAGCATTTTTCATTGTCCGTAGGTGTAGAATCATGCAACAACTACTAAAACAGTGTCCAGTGTTTCCCATACATTGATTTATTTGTGGCGGCCCGCACAAACTCCTACCTCAAACTGACGCACAACGTTAGCAAAAGGAGGATTTTTGCGACATTGTTCATCCAGCAGAGCCACATTATGGTCAAACTCTCGTATGTAGGTAGAGTACATCTTCAGATATGGACCTTTCTGAACAAAGATATCAGCCAATCTCTGATGATCAGACCTGCAGTAGCCAGAAACAAAATTGAGAAATGAGAAATGTAGGAATTTTTATTATAATTTAGACTTCTTAAAAAGATTAATAAACACCATCCAACTTCTAAATACCCTCATTCTTTTGCATCCTTTTTTGAACTCTCTCTACTGCTATCCACAAAACATACATGCTACTCAAACACAAAAATGACATGAAATTAATTCGCAACACATTTAGCGTTCATATTGTTTATGTGTGTTACCAGTGGGCCACTCTCTCCTCCAGCTCTTTCAGCAGGTCTTTATTGAGTTCGTAGAGTTGGGGCAGATAGTATAAGATCTGATTCAACACTTTCTCCTCGACCGGCGGCTTCCCGCTCGCACGAGTCGCTTTGGCAACTGCATCTCGGAAATCCTGACACAGAAATGGAGATGTTAGCTACTGCCAACAAAACAGAGACAGCTAGACAAGAGGAGTAACAGCAACAAACATCCGTGAATTCAAACTATGACTTCATTTATGAGCATTTAAACTTAAATAAAACCACAAATAGTGCCAATAAGAGTCCATTTGAAGTTTTCGCAATAAATCTTTCAAGGTACAATTAACAGCGCTCGACTAAACATTTCCAAACACAATCAGGGTAAAAACAAACAAACTGAAGAGCATACATTGACAGCCCAGTCCATCTACAGCTTTAACAGGAAGTAGAGATAACATTTTCTCTCACAAACACACACACACACACACAC